CTTTGCCGTCAACACACACATTAACGGGGGCAGGGCGCACACTAAAACCAGCACTATCGAAAGGACTTTGCCGTCAACACACACATTAACGGGGGGCAGGGCGCACACTAAAACCAGCACTATCAAATGGGCAACTGAACAGATAAACATCACCAGGCTACACAGAGTTAAGTGCATAATTGGCATAAAGGCTCTTGTTATCCCAAGAACACAGAACATTCACACTCACATCCACAAACTGTCGAGTTCTGTAACAGCACTAATAGCAGGAAGCTTTTCTCCAACTTTGACCACAGAAGCTAAGGCAAGAGAGACTCGGCCACCAGGGAAGGACGCAGCTCTGCTGCACAAGCGGAGAGAGAAGGGAGTTGGGTTGTACTTTCACTGAGAACCACAATGACCATCGAACAGATGACAGAGTCGTCAGGGACACACTAAGAAGAGGGTGGCTGGGGTTCCTGTCCTCACCTTAGGATGGCATCAGGGACTTGCCTGAGCTTCAAAGATCATACCTGCACCAAAAAGTCAGGTTAACTAAAAGAGACCTTAACACCTAAGAGGGGCCGACAGCCCCTGTGAGTAAGGGCTCCTTCAGCAAGAGCTGCCGCCTCGCGTATGCTTGTGGCATAAGGCTGCAGACGAGCCTGGCCTAAGCATCAGTTCTGTTCTTTGCTTCAGGCTCACCAGGGCAGATGAAGAAAGTCAGCTTCTGGCATCATCTATACTTCAAATATTCCAAACGGGAAATCCCAGCAACACGGGGACATTCACGGCTGCCTCTCTGAGGTCTCTGAGGAGTCCAGGATAATCATGATTGTTGTGTGGCCCCCAAAATACCCAAATAAGCAGACAAAATGCCCACGACGTAGTCTCATTCTCTGCTGCTTCTCCTCGGGGCATGGTCTGACCCCAGTCCAGGACAGGCAGAGAGAGAACGCCACCGTTTCAGCAGCAGGAGGAGAGGTGGCTGAGAAAGGCCTGGCTCAGAAGCTCCAGAACAAAAACAAAGGAAAATTGGAAAAGATACTTGACATGCAGGTGAAACCAGGTCTGGTTCTAGAGGAGAAGAAACCAGGTCTGGTTCTAGAGGAGAAGGCCACAGACGCTGGAAGAACTGGGTCTTGCTGTCTCTTCCCCTGACAGAGGCACTAGAAGCTTCACTGAAGGACCCACATGTCAGTTCTGATGAAAACACCTGGAGCTTACAAATTACCTGTCACCACAGACTCTGGACCCATCAACCTACCAAAGGCTGACTGCACATGGACGTCAGACAAGTCAGTAAAAAAAAATGATAATTAAAAAAAAGAAGCAGCCCCAGGTGGGGCAAGTCCTTCAAAGAGTGGCTCAGTTCTGCAATATGTGTGACCCCGGCCCAGACAGGGGCTTCACGTGCTTTCTTCAGGTGGCCTCCAGGACGGCGGCTTCCAGGGCCAACGCTTCGGCGGGCTCCTCCTCGTAGTCCGACAGGTAAGACTCCAGGCTCTGCCTGGCCAGCGCCTCCCGCCGGGCCTGCAGCCGCTCGCAGCGCGGACAGCTTCCAGACTTGAAGCAGGCTTTATGGTAACACGCTTTACACTCTACTCAGGTTGGGAAGGTAGGAGAGAGAAGAAAACAATTTGTATTATCTCCAGCTAGAGGTCAGTTGCTGCCACAGCCCCTTCTCGCCACCAAGCTGCGGTGTCCCCTGGGGAGGCCCTGTGAGGTGCTGAGTGGCACCGAACTCTTGCTAACAGGGGTGGCTCTGGGGAATCAAGGAGCCCTGTGTTCAGGCTCACTTGCCCGACGCCTGCACCTGCCCTCACCTTCACAGGTCCGGCACTTATGGAGCTCAAAGGGAAAGATGATGTCATCCTCATTCTGACAGAACTCACAGATGAAGCCCTTGGCTTGGCAGAGCTGGGGAGGAAAAACACAGATGGCAACATGAGGAGCGGCACATCAGGAACTGGCACGGGAGGGTGAACACCAAGGAGGGGAGTGGTCTGCAGGGTTCTGCTGCCCACAGGGAGGAGGCCTGGCTGGACTCAGAAGCATGAAAGCTAAACTAGGGCCAGGGCTGGGCTGGGTTAGACACAGCTTTAGGCAGGAGATCAGACAGGCACTAGCCACAGAAGCTCTGACCCCTGGCGAGGCTCTCCGTAAGAGACGAAAAGGAGGAAATGGCGCCACAAAGGGCTTCCTAAGCCGACAGTCCCATCTGGGTTGTGATTTACTTCAGAAAAGGAACCACAACCAATTAAGATCAAATGTGGAGACAAGGCTGTTCCTCAAATACAGCACCCAGCCTGGAGTCCGCTTATAGTGAAGTATTTCCAGTTCCTTCCAGACACACAGGGTTCCCTACCTATGCCCAGCTCTAATTCTGGGACTGTCACAGGAACATAAACTGGGCATAGTCTAAGACAGGAAGATCGAAAAGTATAATTTCTGCATTTTTTACATGTTGAGTAGATCACAATAACGATGTACGTTTGTGGAACACATAAATATACAAAACGATGTCACACAAATTAGGATAACAAACGAAGGCCGAGGGTCGAAGCTCTCCAGATTCGAATCCAGAGTTCTCCTCTCACATCATGACAATTCCTTTCTTTTTCTTGTGGGGGATGGAGTCTTGCTCTTGTCGCCCAGGCTGGAGTGCAGTGGCGTGATCTTGGCTCACTGCAACCTCTGCCTCCTGGGTTCAAGCGATTCTCCTGCCTCAGCCTCCCGAGTAGCTGGGATCACAGGCCATCATGCCCAGCTAATTTTTGTATTTTAGTAGAGATGGGGTTTCATCATGTTGGTCAGGCTGGTCTTGAACTTCTGACCTCAGGTGACCCACCCACCTCAGCCTCCCAAAGTGCTGAGATGACAGGCCTGAGCCACTGTGCCCGGCCGACAATTCTTTAGTGAAAGTCTACTCAGTCCTGCCCAGAGCTACCCAGGGCCACAGCCAGCACCAGCTCCTCCCCTCACTCGAGGTTCTTTAGATCGGGGTGCTCTGGCTACTCTCCAGGCTAACGAACAGCAGTCCTTTCCAGTTCCTCTCCCAGTGCTGACTGGCCGCTTCAACTTCCTCGAGCTAAGTGGCCAGAACCCCAGGTCCACCCCACTCCCTATAACCCTAAAAGCAAGGGCTCAGCTGCATGCCACAGTGAGACCTTCTCACCATGCATCTCTCCACATGGGCAGCCCCTGCCCTGGTGAGCTCAGCAAGCCGGGGCCCCAGCTCCCCCTTCCTGGTCGCTGTCAGATCATTCAGTGAGTACAGGTGGAGGTCCTCCGTCAGGTGGCCCGGGACTGTGTCAAAGGAATCCAGAAGCCTACGGGGAGTGACAGGAGGCAGGGGAGGGAATGAACAGTGCGTGTGCCACGTCATAGTAGAAGGATCCCTATCCAGAAACTGCAGAAAGTAACAAGGGTGGGCAACGATCGGCCAGCCCAGTGTTCCAGGCCACCCTAGCCGTTCCACACTACTAGGTGTCTGGATGGCAGAAGCGACTATAGACTCCTGCAGAGTGGTCCACGTGGGATCCAGCCTGCTACGAGCAGCGGCCTGCCCTGGGTGGAATGACCACAGATTCCCCCTCCAGAGAGAAGGACACAGATACAGTTACTGCTGTGGCCTCTCGTTTACCACTTTACATTTCTGCAAAATCTCTCTACTCTCCTCCGTTACATAACAAGAGCCGAGTGCTGGGATGTGTCCCTTTCGGAGACAGCAACGTGGCCAGAGGGCTCTGGCTCCACAAAGGACTTACTCCTTGGCCAGTCGACAAGTCTTGAACATGTTCTTCATGTGACACAGCTGGACCCGCAGCAGCTGAAAAGAAAGAGGTGGGGGCAGGAGTGGGAGGGGGATGTGAGAAGAGGAATCCAGTGCTGGAAGCCCAGGGCCTTTAAACCCTGGAGGTCTAGAAGCCTTGCATGCTGCAGCCAGAGCAGACTGTCCTATGCTCTAACTCGCTCTAATTCACTCTGACAACTGGCTTCAGAGTGCTCTCTGCTCAGGGAAGGCCCCTCCGCCAGGTCTGTCTGCCCAAGTCACATAAGCAGCCTGGGGCAGAGGAGTGCTCTGAAATTCCAGTTTCTCACTAGCTACCCTATTCCTCATTCATTCACTCATGTTTTCAGTGAAGGAAGAAATTCTGCTTTTGCCATCGAGTGCTATCTACAGCTTCATAGCTGCCATTGCCAGGTTTGAGACTCCAACTAGACAGATACCTGGGAAATGGGAAGAGATTAAGAAAGTACATAGGGAGGGCATGAATGGAGACGGTTACAGCTTTGACACTGCGATGACAAGAAGTGTGGTAATTGTGGGAAGCCCTGTATAACCAGGGGAAGGGACGAGGGAAGGAGATGAGGGGAGGGGACGAGGGACGAGGGGAGGGGACGAGGGACGAGGGAAGGGGACGAGGGACCAGGGGAGGGGACGAGGGACGAGGGGAGGGGACGAGGGACGAGGGGAGGGGACGAGGGACGAGGGGAGGAGATGAGGAGAGGAGACGAGGGGAGGAGAAGGGCAAGACTCTGAGGTGGCCTTTCCAAGGTCTTACCCGGACTTGATTGAGCAGCTTGACCTTCCTGTAGAGGGCACTGTTTATGTCCTGCACGTTGAAGAGAGGATCATTCCAGATCTTAATGAGCAGGTCCTTGGAGAAATTGCTGACGTAGTACTTGCTGAAGTCCCACTTGCGCAGAAGCCGGCTGGGGATGACCATCTGTGCATTCTCATGGCAGCACTGGCAGAAGTACTTGCCCAGGTACTCACAGTACCGCAGTCGCTTGATATAATCTGGAAAAACCGGAAAGCCAGAAAGCCAGATGTAACTTTCCCACCTACAAACTGGGAAGGTGGCTCTGCTCTTCCCTTGAAAGGGTGGAAAGGGACAGCCAATGGCCTCTAGCAACCTCTGTCTGAGTTCCCCAGAGCTCGCCAAAATCCAGAGTGGAGCCTGGGGTAATGTCCCACCTTGGAGGCCCTGAGGAAATAAAACCAGCCACAGTTGGTAAGATCCAGCCTTACCAGCTGGCTGGAACTACCCAACTTTCCACAGTATACAGGCCTGGCCATGCGCTCCCAGAAATCATTTCCCTCCGATCGCCAGCACTCTCGCCTACTACGAACCTTTCTTTCTCCTTCCCTACTTCTGCCACCTCCTGTACCGCCTTTGACACGCCACCTCTCCCTACCTGTGGGGGAGGGTACAGAGCCTCTGGAGGCAGCGTGGTGGGAAGGGAAGGCACTCACCAGGGTCAGTCCGGATGCCACATCCTGCACAGCGGTAATTCTGCTTGGCCACGGCAATTTTCCTCCTGAGGAAGGATAAGGACGGGGCATTGGCAGATAGCAGCTGCGTGAGGCCGTTGAGGTGTGAGGGACTGAGCACACACACACAGCTCCAGGAAAGTATGGGAAGAGAGGGGAATTCACCTAGGATTCAGTTGGACAACACTGAACCTACTGGGACAGCCGACTCCATACAGGATTTAGGTCTACGCAGTGACTCTCCCCAGGAATGAACCACACATTCTGTACAAATGCAAGCAATGACACGTGGTAAAGGAAAGAATGACAGGAAAGAAAAGCATCCATCCATCTTAGATAGAGAAGAAAGACCAGCAAGCTCACGAAACTGCCGGGAGGAAGGCAACAGGTTGGGGATGGCAGCAAAGCAAAACCCGCCTTGTTTCCAGCCAGCTCTGGGACTTAAGAGTAAGAAACGAAGGACAAAATGGACAACCCTCCTCCTCCGCCTTTACATGAAGAGAACCGTGTGGGAAGGACAGCTGGAGGCAGAGACAAGTGGGAGAGACGAAAACCCTGACAATCCACAGAGGACGGAGCTGTGCTCCCAAGGGCACAGACACTGGCCACTCACGTTGGGGCGGGATGAACATTAAAAATTATCTGAGGCCGGGGGGGCGCCCACTCCAAGTTGCCACGAACACGAATCCGCAGCTTGTAGATGTCAGCATGCTGCCCGTCATCCGGTGAGATGGGCAGTGAGTCAGGGATGGGTAGAAGCTGTAGGAGAAAACACAGTTGGGGTCAGTGCACACGGACGGGTGTGGGACCCACAAACGCAGGACCCTTTCGGCCATGACAGAGCATCAGGAGTGAAAGACATTTCAGGAACACCACAGGATAAGAGCTTCAGGTAACCTTGGTCCTCGGAACCAACCAGGAGGCACCAGGGTACTAGAAGTGAGGGCTGTGGGTTCCAAGAAGCAAAGAGAAACGGCCTCCCACGGCAGTGGCCCCATGGCTCATGTTGTTCCTGCGCCCATTCCAGGACCTTTGCCGTGCCAGGGTGTTTCATGCCTTAAAGACGAGTGCAGAGCAAAGAATCCAAGCAATTCGCTTTTGCACAGCGTCTCCGAGCTGGTCAGAAACCAAACGTGACTGAGTCTGGCGAGCAGTCACGTGAATACGGACGGCGAAGGAGCCGTCATCTCCGCTCTGACAAGGCGAGCAAGCGTTCACTGTTCATTTATCACCTGAGCCACTGTAATAAATGGCTTCCATGAGTAAGGCGGGGAACACACAGGCTCATTCCAGACTGGGGACGTGTGACGAAGGAAAACAAGGTCACAAAGGCTCCCGGCCCCTGGGTAGGAAGAAGAGCCAAGGACCTACCTTCTGAGGTGCGTCGTGCTCCGGGACGAGCCACTCCAGCTCTGAGGCAGCTGGAAGCTGCATCCCCTCAAACTGCTTCAGGAGCCCCATGGCCACCGCCTCAGCAGATGTGGAGTGCAGGAAGCCGTGGGAGCTGGAAAGGGGAGAATCAAGGACGGCTGAACACAGGGAAAGGACGGGCAGATGGAGGCTTCCCTTCATGATCTCATCCCCCACACAGCAACTTCTGGGCTGGGAGAATACCCGCAGCACCCCGGCCTGCTCATCACCCTCACACAGGAGACAGTGACAGTCCGCTGGTCTCACAGTCCGAAGATTTCGGTTCAAGCCCCACTTCCTGTCACTACGCAGCACCGACACATAGGACAGTGAGAGTCCGCTGGTCTCACAGTCCGAAGACTGTGGTTCAAGCCCCACTTCCTGTCACTACGCAGCACTGACACACAGGACAGTGAGAGTCCGCTGGTCTCACAGTCCGAAGATTTCGGTTCAAGCCCCACTTCCTGTCACTACACAGCACTGACACACAGGACAGTGAAAGTCCGCTGGTCTCACAGTCCTAAGACTGCGGTTCAAGCCCCACTTCCTGTCACTACACAGCACTGACACACAGGACAGTGAGAGTCCGCTGGTCTCACAGTCCGAAGACTGTGGTTCAAGCCCCACTTCCTGTCACCACACAGCAGTGCTAATGAAGGACTCTGTCACTTCCTTTCTCTTAACTTCAGCTCCTCTAACAGCAAAATGGAGATTATAATGCCTGCTTACAAAACAAAGTGAGTAAAATTGCTTTGTGGACTAAAAGGCGATTTTTCCTCCCAAATGAGCTACTATTTCCCCTGGTTGGGTCCGTGATGTGGAATCTGTTCAATCTGATTTCATAACCAAAAACCATCATCACTGCTCTCTATTGAGACCTTCTGGGGCCTCCGGTTATGATGAGAGTCAGCAGAGAAGGAATCCCTCACTTCCAGCTTTGCCTCCACGAGAGCCCGTCCCATTGGGACCAAACAGCTTCTGCTTTCCTCTCGTGGGCTCGCCACCATCAGCAAGCCCCTCCCTCTGACCTTGCCTCCTCTTACATCTGGATGGCTTTGCCCAGCCATATGCCAAGAACTGGGTTTGTTTCTCTACGTATCCTCAGGTTTTCTTTTTTTTTTCTTTAAAAAAAAGTACTCACAAGGACTGGGAGGAAGCGAAGGATCTGCTGCTTGAGGCTGTGTTCCGTCTGATGTCAGCATCTACATGGAAACCAGAGATAAGGGGAGCGCAATGGAAAGGGGTGGGTGAGGGATCGTGGAATCCACGACGCGGTGCTGCCAGCTAAGCACTCAGGGTAACAGCCAGGTGCCACATTCTACGCAGGATAAAGGAGCAGGTGAAGCTCTACACACAGGTTATAACTTGCCTCTATCCAAGTCAAAACCAGGCTGAATTAGTAACATTATGCACAGCACTGAGAAGGTGAAAAGTGTTATAAACCCAGGCAGAACGACAGACTCAGCTTTGGTGTGAAACGGTGAATGAGGTTCACAGACACAACCCCTCACGTGCACAGACACAAAACAAGGACTCAAATCGCTCCCTCATTCTCCACATCTTAACCTTTCTTGAATGATAAGCTCCCTTAGGCAGTAACTCTGTCTGGCTCTTAGATATATAACATTCAGTGCCTAACACGTAACTTGGATCACAGAGGTTCTCATGAAATACATGTGACATTGGAACTTTGCTTCTAACACTTCACCACTGTTGCCATCACCCCGAATGTTACAAGTGTTTGCAAGTTTGCTGCTAACATCTCATCACTGCTGCCATTTTACCCCTGAATGTTGGAGTCTTCTATATCCTTAGAAAAGCTTCATGGAGGAAAAGGAACTTCTCTATAGCTTTGCAACTCTTTGGAGATGCCTGGTTACCAACACATTCTGACAAAGATGGTCAACACGATCTCTGAGGCATAATTATACAAGAAACTGTGGCAGACCTTCCATAGCGTATTTCTGACAAAGGATTTAGAAGAGGATTTCTAATAACGATATGCCTGAACCTCCAGAGACCTCAGAGACCTCGTCTACCCAAATACTTTTGATGGAGGGGAATGCGAAACACAGCAGTTATGTTCAAGCAAGGCAGACACAACCTACCCAAGTCATGAAAACAAGACTGTTCTGAGAAATACTCTCTCTCACGTCCTTCACTGCCCAGTGAAAAGACCTTTCTTTCCTAATTAAGCCAACACAATGACCAATCTACTCTGAGCACTCAGGACATGAATCTTGTATGGCATCGCTGTGCACTGGGCCATGAGTAGCTCTACTGTTCCTCACGTTTCCTCTGTATGCAGATTTTTGTCTGGACAACTAGATTATAAAACCACCCTATTAGGAAATAAGATTGTGTCTCCTTCTTCTCTTGGCTCTAAAATACTTAACACAGGGCTCATATACAAGCATATACTCAAATAATATTGCTGACAAACTAATGTCTTCAAAGCTACATATATGAGGAAGATAACAGAAGTAACAGAAGTTTTCATATGTTCTCTAAGCACAGGACAAGACATCAACACGTTTTTGCTGGTAATTAACACAGCCTACTTAACAACAAAGATGTTCAAGTGTACCGTGTTTTCTGGGTGAATTTGTGCCACCAAAATCCAGATCCCAGTGCACTGCTAGTTGTCTTATTTCTAGCTAGTGCTGGTAGAGAAAAGAAAAACAGTAGAGGCAACAGGAGGCCAGACCTTCACAGACTGGTTTGTGACATGTATCTGGGTAACACTTACACTGCCTTGGGTTGTACATTAAGTCTTGCCTTGCGCTAGTAGCCCTCAGAGTGCTTTGTACATAAAAGTTTTCAGAAAATATTTTCTGAATAAATGATTAATTGGCTAAAAGCAATTAACAGCTATTTCAAATTCCATCCTGTTTGGGAGTCACACAAAAGAAAAAAAAAAAAAAACTTAGCTATCCCTCAGGAAGGAGCTAACCAATTTTCTTATTTTAGTGCCAGGCTATTAAAGAAAATACTACATGCCAGAAAGAACAGGCAGTGATAATTCACAGTTTCTAAGGAAACCACTGCCTTCATAAAACTATGTAGCAGTTCTTCATCCTCACAAAGAAGAAACTTTTTTTGAGAGAAAAAAATCATTCTCTCTTTAGAAAATACAACTGAGTCACACTGTAACATGCTTCTTCCTCTCTTTGACTAGAGGTAAAGTGAGGTCGGAGGTACATGCAGGGACTTCCCCTTCCCTGCCAATCATGAATACACCAAGAGTGTGGAGGGGCCGCCCAGCTTCGGAGGCCAGGCTCTGAGCCCGGAGTGGAGGGAGAGAAGCACACTCCATCAAAGGGGCCATGACACCCGGCCCCAGCCAAGGACCACGCAGCTCTGTGGGTCCTGGGCCCGCGCTGCAGCCTTATCACTCTCTCGTCAGCTCAAGCAGACCACTAAGTTGATGTGGGTGAACCCCTAGTTGAAGATCTGGATAAAAGCAGACCGAGTCTAAGCCAGCAAATTGAAGAGTGAAGAGAGGGGGAGCTACCCATCTGGATGGACTCAACGTGTCCCAAGTGAGAGCACTTACGGAGCAGGTCTGAGACTCTCACCATCCAAGTGGAATTTAACATAATTCTGAAACTTTTTATTGATTTTTTTGGTACAAAAACAAGTATTGTTATTGCAAGAGAATGATTTCAGGTGCTTCTGATGCATAGATGTTAGGTTGAGTAATCGCAATTTTTGCCATTACTTTTGCAGCAACTTAATAGAATAAGGCCATTATTTACTGACAGAAAAAAGTTTAAAAATATAAAAATAAATAACAAAAACAATGACAAGTTATAAGGAGAAGAATTTGCTGCATGTCCAGACACTGGTATTGAACGATCAGAGAAGAGCTGGCTAAAACCTTGGTACCTTAGCAAACCACGCAAATTATTATTATTATTATTTTTTTTTGAGACGGAGTCTCGCTCTGTCACCCAGGCTGGAGAGCAGTGGTGCGATCTCCACTCACTGCAAACTCCACCTCCGGGTTCACACCATTCTCCTGCCTCAGCCTCCCGTGTAGCTGGGACCACAGGCGCCGCCACCACGCCCGGCTAATTTTTGTATTTCTAGTAGAGACGGGGTTTCACCATGTTCGCCAGGATGGTCTCGATCTCCTGACCTCGTGATCTGCCCGTCTCGCCCTCCCAAAGTGCTGGGATTACGGGCGTGAGCCACTGCGCCCGGCCAACTACACAAATTTTTAAACAAAATAAGTGAGTCACAAGAAGAGTCAACTTCAGAATGTACTGGCCAGTTTGATGTTGGTTTCCATCCTGCTTTCTTTCTAGAAGATAAGGTCATACCCAACATATCTGGGAGTCCAAATCCAACAAATTTTCTGTAATTGCTGACTCAAAAGGAAACATTTCAAAATGGAGAACCCAAAGCATTCTTGTTTTATAAAGAGAAAAAATTTAATTTAAAAATGGATGAGGGAGAAGCAACCGATTACCTTCAATTGGATATAATTTTGAAACTTGTCAGAAAATATAGCCATGAACTTTCCTTTTTACCTATTATGCCAGCTCTCAATTTACTGCCTTTCGACTCCAAATCTGCCCTTGTTTTTGCCTGCTCTGCAATAATGGAGCTGGACACAGAAACATTTCTCCTTTGCCAGCTGACACGATGTGGAGTTTTGCGGTAGAGGGTGCTGGAGGCAGAAGGGGTTTCTCTGGCTGGTTCTGGTTGCTTCTCTAGGCTGACCCCGGGGGAGGCACACCTTGGGCAGCTTTGCAGCAGAGTACCACGAGTGATGCCCTCATAAACAGCCCCCTCAGCACCCACAGGAGAGCTTCCCTGGAGAGCTTTACAGTGAGTGCCACTGGCCTACCACCTTCCCACGAAGC